CGCCTAGGCGGCCTAGGCGGGTCTGGGGATTTTTGTTTTTTTGTTTTTTAGATTTTTATTTTCCAGGTTAAATTTTAATGCTTTTTAACCCCCCAGTAGTAGATAAAAAAAATATTTCTTTAAATGATATTCCTAGTTGAAAACATTTATTTTCTATTTGGTGGCAATTTCCGACATGACCCCCCATACACGACTTGAAACCCGCTCGATTAAATTTTGTAGAGTGTAGAGTGTCCTAACTCCCTCTTTCCCGTACATTTTTCTCTGCCATTCAGATCCTTTCCTCTTTGATAACCTTTTGGTATATCATATGAAAAATACACAATTGCACCAGGAACAAAGCCAGCAGAGTAAAAATCCTGTGACGTTCAGTATTTTGATTCACTCTGCATGCATATGTAGAATGGTAATTCTGGTGGAGCAACTACTTTCGTGAGGAGATCATCAACCAAGCTCTGAACTGTTTCTGATGGATGAAAAGTGGCCTCTAATTATCAGGAAATCAAACCCTGATCACAGTCTGCATACATGACACATGAACTTAACAAATAGATAAAAAGCGATTATACGACTAATTAAGATATTGAATAGGTTATGCATCCGATGATGATGGGGCAGAATTGATCATACAAACAACAATAGAAACAATCACCACAACAAGGAGAAAAGAAAGTCGTAATAAAGGGTACAGCAACCACCTTTGTTATCCTGCGGGCTGCCTGTTCTGCCTCCTTAAGCTTTCGTGTGTTTAGAAACTCATCTGTCAATTACCTTCCTCTTTGGCATTCATAATCTGATAATAATCCTCTGCTGTGAACTCAAAAAATTCATCTGTCTCCTCTGCCAAACAAAAAATGACGAAAAGAAACAAATTTCAATCAAGCATCTCAATGTGCTTGCTTCCACAGATAATCCAAAATATAAAAAGCTGGAAGCTGAATGGTTTGGCTGGCCTACCAAAGTTGAATTGCTTCATACCTGTAATAGACACTTCAGTTTGTGAAGAAGAAGCAGCTGACGTTTCAAAAACACGAAGTTCTCACCACACTCATATGACAGAATGAATCGCAGCGATTTGCAACAATGATTAGTATATACTAACACAGCTATTACAATGTGTACTTATCATTTTCTAGTTAGCAACAATTATATTTTAATTATGATTTCTTTATCGAATAATTAGTATTAAATATTTTAATTAACTTCATAAATCATATTACTTAATAAATAGTAACTAATTTGTTAAAAAAATTCTTTAATAAAATATTTAGACACTAATTATTCACTAAGTCAACAATAATTAAAACATAACTGATATACAAAAGAGAAATTCTGATCATGCTAAAACGGGTATAGCCGGTCGGCTGTACTTTTAAATATTCCATTTATAGCTATACTGTGAAATATTCTATTTACAGGAAGAAAAATCATGAAAAAAAAATATCTATTATAAAAAATAATATAAAAAAAATGATCCAGGTATATATACGAGGCTATACGATTTATTTAAAAAAACAATTCCAAAAAGGTCTACTTTGGGAACATTTAACAGCAAACATCGTCAAAGAAACTTGCTAGGAAGAAAAAATATGGTAAAAAGTAATTAATTAATATATTTAATTATTCACTATTCATTAAATAAATAATAAATAAAAACAAATTACTAATTAAAATAATTAAATAAGGCTAAAATATTACTGAATTACAAATTTTAAACTAAATAAACTAATTTGTAAGAAATTTTTTGATAATCAATTACTATATATTGAATAATTTAAGAAATTAATTAAAATATTTAAATACTAATTAGTCACTAAATAAATAATATTTGAAAAAAAATTAGAATTAAAAAAATAAATATTTTAATATTTAATTAGAACAGCCGCGCGGCTATACTCCTTAACTCCGAATATTTAAAAATAGCAGCTAATATTGAATATTCGAATATATTCGGAGAGTATAGCCGCGCGGCTATACTCTTTAATGGCAGCTAATTAGTAAGCTAACCCATATTCTATGTAAAACGGTAACTAGAATGTCCCCTTACGACAACTTACAACTAAAATACTTTCATTTTGGTAAAAATTTATCCCACATGCAATAAAAGTAACAATACTGAAAGCAAAATTGCTTATGAATGTCACTGAGTGATTTGAGTATATATATTTCCTTTTTATGTATTTGAGTGTGATTTGAGTACATATATTTCCTTTTTATGTTATCCTACCAAATTTTTCACATTCAAATCAGATTCAGTTTTCACATGACTTTCCCCCAAATGCAAAATACAAAGAGCTTGATAGCGATTAGATGTAGTGTTGTTGTTTAACTTCAGTCTCCACCAGTAACAAGAGATGAAGCTGATAGACAACACCAAAATTTATGAGTTTTTCAGACCCTAAACCTAATCGAATTAAGGACAAGGGTATAGTTAAAACTCAATATCAAACATAATAGAAAGAAAAACAAACATATCAGTGTTTGATTTAAAACACACAACAAAGAACATGTTGCTAGGGTCTAATCTTAGCACCTAATCTTAATATCATAAAAAAACCAAACACACAAACGCTGGATTTTGATGCAATAATTAAGATTCAAAACCTCAGTTAAATCCATTGATGTCATATGAAATGTAGCTTCACCGAGGGGTTCTCCCTGAAAACAGGGTCTCAGTTCCACTACACCTCAAACAAGCGGATGCAATCATCCTAGGTCAGAACAACACAATATTCAAATCAAAATTGTAACAAGAAGATTTTCAAAACATAAAACTGCAGATCAAGCAACGGACACAAACATTTGATTTGGCTGCAATAATTTAGACCAAAACCTCAGTTAAATCCATTAATGTCATATGAAATGTGGCTTCGCCGAGGGGTTCTCCCTGAAAACAGGGTCTCAGCTCCACCACACCTCAAACAAGCGGATTGAATCATCATAGGCCACATGAACACAAAATTCAAAACATCAAATCATTAAAAAAAACACAAAAGAAATCAAATTTATAAACAGAAGGCTCAGAGTATGAAACAGCTCTCTCGATCACGAATTTTCTGAAGCAGAACTGGCATAAAGCTGTAAATTTAGTCATCACTGCCAAAACAGATATGAAAAATATGCAAACTTTTCAACAATCCAAAACATAAATTAACAAAAAAAAACACAAATCATGGCTCATATCAAGAAATTCAACCATTGATTATCACATTCTGCTTCATAGATTGCTCTCAGAAGCGCGGATAATTTGTAATCATCGCCAAAATTCAATCAAATAAACTGAATTTGGAGATATAAAGAGGACAAATCTAGCGGACGTTTTTAGAGGCAAAACCATCAAAACAGATAAACCCCCACGTTGACACCGCAATAGCTTTGCGCCTCCATGACTAGCTCTGTTTTCGGAGAATCTTCAAAAACAGGCTTAAGGTGTGTCGAGGCGTAACATACAGTACAAAATTCATAAAAAGGGCTAAGCTTGGGAGAGATATGGCCGTCGATTTGACACAGTAAAGCCGTGGGGAGCAAAGCTAAACTACAACACTTAACGGCGACGTTTTAGCACGAGCATTGGGGCTTTCATCTTCAGTGAGAACTCTCAGAGAAGCCCGGGGTGCATCGTGCGTGATTCAGCAAGATTGAAACAAATAAAAAGAACGGAATTTTGATTATCTGAAACAGAATTGAACAGGCAATAGAGGAGATGGGAGGAGCCTAGGAAAGGCTTCGATGGAGACTGAAGAGTATGAAGGAGAAACAGCGGTTCGTGTTGTTTATATAGGCAATCTAAAGCCCTGCACAAACCCTAGGTCATTTTCTTCTTACTCGTACTACGGTTATAACGACGCCGTTTCTTCATTATCTAGCCGTTCAGCATGCTCAATGTCCTTTTTGCCCACGACTGGTATTGTAAGAGCAACTCCACCGGTGAGCTAAGCCCAAGGCTGGGGTGGGGAGGATAAAAAATTGACGTTCCCACGAGGAGCCCAAGCCCGAGTTGGGAGTGGGACTCACGAAGACGGGTTGGCCCTCAGGCCAGTTCAACTCGAGCTCAAGCCCGAGGGTTGGGCTGATGTCATCGTTGGCGTCAGCCCACTCATTTGAATTTTTTTTTCTGTTGCCACGTGGCGTCGTTTGGGCTCTCCGATCGGATTTTTTCCTCCAATCCAACGGCAGCCAATTTTTTTGCAATAAAATACTGGAAAAAATTTATAAAAAAACCCAAAAACTATAAATACCAGCCTTTTTTTGAAAAAAAAATTATCTGAAATTTGAAATTGAAAATTTATCCGATTATGAGATATGAATAGCATTGACACGTAGGAATCCGAAAATCTTATTCGCAAATATTATCAAAATTAATTATTGAAAAAAAGAATACTACTTTGTGAAAAAAAAAAATTGTGAAAAAACACAAAAAAATGAATAGTAATTGCCCTTTGCCATGGCAACGGGTGGAAACGGAAATGGCTTTTTGCAAGGACAACCACTATTTACTATGTAAATAGTGGCTGCCCTAGCCCCCCCTTGCCATGGCAAAGAGCAAATGGGTAGAGTTGCTCTAAGTTGTAATGTCCTTTTTTGTCGAGGAATAATAGGATTTGGTAAGACTCAAGACCGATTCCCCCTCCCCCAATATCGTTTGTATCACAAGTAATTTTATAGTGTGACTGTAACGCAGCGAGAATTACATCATCACTCACGTTTGTATCACAAATAATTTTGTGGTGTGACGTCACCGCGGCGAGAATTACATTATCACTCACCTTCTAATATCCAGATTTCGGATTTCGGATTTGCCCTTGTGAAATTATAAACTTTTAAACAATAATAGAATTAAGGCTAAAAGTCTTTTAAGGATTTGAATCGAATAATATGATTTCACAATGAATCAGTCACATTTCTTCATGCTAAAGATGAGAAGGAAACTATTGATATGTGACATGGGGCACATGAACAACGTAGAAACATTCCAGTTTAAATTATAGGGAGACTAGCCACTTTGAAATTTCTGAAGTTGTACAATCATTGAATTCTAGTCAAGCTGATATGAAACATGGAAGACAAAAATGGGAAACACAAAACAAGATCACTACTGCAATCTAAATTACAGAGAGATCACTGAATTCAGTTGACAAAAACAAGGGGTATAATTCTGTCACCGCAAACTGGAGACATCTCACACAAGACACAAGGTTACTTCCCTTGCAGTCCAATAGGCAAATAATGGTATTCTTAACACTCATACTATCATCCATGTCAAATGCCGGTACCCAGCCCACTTAGCAGCAAGACGAATTCCAATGGCTAAGGCTACGCCAAGCAAGGGCATTGGAAGCTTCCTATTAGTCACTACAATTTCTTCCTTTCTTTCCGAAAGCTTCTTTGAGTGGTGCAAAATGGCTAAGGAGAGATATGATGAGATCACCAAAACTCTAATATATGGTTCTCCTACAGCAGCCAGCACAGCTGCTGCGGGCAATGCAGATGTAACATCATCCCTCTTTTTAACAAATCGTGAGTAACCATACAACCCCACTAGAATCGTCCAGAAGAAAGGCTCTGAGATGTAACCTGTCACAGCTGCATAGCCTACTACACCAGATGCTGTGAGAAGAAAAGGTTGACAGTTTATAGAGTTTGGAACAACAGCTTCTGCGATAGCAAGGACAGTTGATGCCAGCATGATAACCGTTGTCAATTCTGGAATTGGAGCATATGCCACTATGCCAGAGTAGAAAGAGCGAAGGGCATAGATTGTTGTTTCTATGAATCTGATTATGAAAGTAATGGGATCACCAAGGAAATGGAAGATTAGGGCCAAGATAAGTTTCAAGAGGTATCCCACAAAACGGACAACAGCCAGTGCAGCCTTTCTCCAGTTAGCTAATTCCAGCAAGACAGCTCTCCATGCATAAATAAGGAAGACCAATGCTGCATAATTACAAATAATATTTAGTTAGCTGCATAAGATATGTTATTGTGCAGTCAGATTTCCCAGAAAAGTATTTGAAAAAGGTTAAGAACAACAGTTGCATTGGTCATAAAAATTCGTATGTGCAAGCCTCAAAACAGAAATTGAACAACATAATTAGTATGGTCATAAAAAGTTATATTAGAATATGTTTTATAATACCACTAACGAGTTCATGTAACAGGAACTAAATAATCTAAAACCAAAACGTTAAAGTTTCTGTTTTATCAGCTTATAAGCTCACACCAAAAAAGTCAGCTCTCAGATCTGTTTAACTCCACAAAGCAGCACTTTCTGCCCTCTGCTAAATAATTTCCAAGTTTCTTATGTATCCAGATTCAGCAAATCCTTCTATATTCATACAATCACAAGGAAAAAGTATTAGTGGCAGAATACCCTCAAGCATAGAGAACTAAGACACACTTAATCAGAGCACTTGTCCACATCATCTCCCCCAACTCATATAAAGCAGCACTCTTCAACATTTTCAGGTGAAAATCAGTCAATAAACTTAAATGTGTTATGGCATAGAACATTTAGTCACTAATGCATACGCCAGAGAAGGCAGAAAATAAAACTATGAGAATTGTCAATAGGTTGAAGAACCCTTCTTTTAAAACACATATACTGTCTATACATTCTCTTCCTCTTTATAAGTAATTCTGAAAAGTTAAGAATTACAAATCGCTAGCTCACTTTTTAGATGTTTGTGACGAACTCTTATAATTTCCTGTCTCGCATTTTAAGAGCTTATGAGGCAAGCATTTCTAAATTTGAGGAAGTTGTGGTGAGAAATGTCAAAATATACTTCCTAAGAAGAAACTAACCAACAAGATGTATTTCTATATGAAAGCAAGTTCCTTAATCATAGTGATATTGCCACCCACAATCATTCAATGGGATGTTATCACACGTATCCAGTAGAGTGTCGCTCTTAAATTCTTTTGGAGTCCCAATTCATTACAATCCCAAATGTTCAAACTTTCTTCTTCTTTTTTCTCTTTTCCATTCATCAACATTTTCTCAGCAAACAAACAGAGAAAAAAGGAAAAGAGAATAGAAAATTTTACCTACAAACCAAGGCCACCTCACAGGAGCTTCCTCAGCTTCATCAACGCCATCACTTTTTGCACTCACACGAACCCTTAACCTTCTTTCAAACAAAAACCCAACTGCTTTCCCGGAAGACCCAGGGAAATTATGAGGTTGTATAGGGTTCAAAAATTGAACTTTGGTTGAAGAGCGAAATTGAATGGTTTGTTTATGCGGTCGAATGATGAGAGGAGAAAATGAAGTAATTTTGAGTCTGAGAATAGAGGGGCTTGGAGAGGAGAGGGCGGGAATGGAAGTCGCCATGGCTTGGGGTTAGAGAGGTTTTGCAGCCATTATCAGTATCAGCGACAGCGATTGAGTAGCAGAAATTGGATATTGTTTTGAAGGTTTGGACTTTTGTTCTTCCAAGGTAAAGGTTTGAACTTTTTGTACTATGAGCCCAAACTTGACAGCAATTTCATACTATTAGGTCCAGCCCACAAAGACCTTGTGCAAGCGCTTGAATTATAAATTTATTTATTTATTTTCATTCGAATTAGAACATTGGATTGTGATTTGCAACTAGAAAATACTTTATAACCCAATTGATTTCCTAGCTTATTTTTTCAATCCATGATATTGTAATTGAGTTTAGCATCCCCTGTCTTAACTTTTGGCCTTTCCAATTGGACAAATTCTGAATAAAAAGATTTTTGGACAGTAAAAACTTCCATCAAGGGATGAGTAAAATTGCAAGTTAGGTATGTCATGAAATGGAGGACTATCTGCATTGGTAAAAACACCTCAAAACTGAATTATTTCTTGCTATAATTCTTTCTGTGTGACATGGAACAAGTGAAGCTTGCTTTTAATAGACTAATGTACAATATTAGTCTTGATACACCACCCAACTAGTGCCAGAAGGTGCCTTCGCTCCCTTCTCCTTCATTTCCCTTCTCATTCTCTGGGCCTCCTCATACCTTCCTAAGCTAGAGTACATCCTTGCCAACAATAAATAATTGGCAGGATTACCAGGCTCAATTTCGGACAGAGCTTTCCCTGCAATCTCAGCAAGCTCCATGTTTCCATAAGTTCTACATGCCGAAAGAAGAGCACCCCAAGCTTTAGCAGTCACCTTCACTGGCATTTGCCTTATGACCTCATATGCCTCATTCAACCTCCCTGCTCTGCTCAAAACATCTACTATACAAGAATAGTGATCGCTGTTCGCTTGCACACCATAATCCTTACGCATCCGACTAAAATAATGTAGTGCTTCATCGGCTAATCCTTCAGCATGGCTACACGCTTTCAGTACCGCAAGGAAAGTGATCTCATCAGGCTCTACTGTTGCCAATTCCATCTTCCGGAAAACGTCCAATGCAGCTCTTGCCTCCCCGTGAAGTGCGTACGCAGATATCAAACTACTCCATGCAACTACATCCTTTTTCTTCATGCAGTGGAACAGATTGTGCGCATTAGCAAGACAACCACAGCGCCCGTAGGCCTCCACCAGGAGGCTACTCAATTGAGAATGAAAGTCAATCTCATTCCTTACATCATAGCCATGAATTTCCCTAATAAACCTTAAAGCTGCTACACCAACGCAAGCACGTAACAGAGCAAGCAGTGTTATTAAATCCGGTTTCCATCCCCAAGCTCTCATTTTTCTATAGAACTCGACGGCCTTGAACGACCTATCATCGGATCCCGCCAACCCGGCTATAATGGAATTGAATGTTGACACGTCTGGTTCAACATCCATAGCCTCAAACAATCCCAACGCATCAGACACATTCCCATTACGCGTATACACCGATATCATAGCATTCCACACAACAACGTTCCTCTGAGGAATTTCGTCGAACAAGTTACGTGCCGCTGAGAGTGACACGCATTTGCCGTACATGTCAACGAGAGCGGAAGCCACAAATGGGTTTGGAAGGATTGACGATTTGGCAACATGGGCATGGATGGAGATGCCGAGTTGCGGGCGGTGGATGGCAGAGCAAGACTTGAGAACAAGAGAGAAGACATGGGCGTCGAGAGGGAGGGCCAGTGAGGCCTGCATGTGGTGGAAAAGAGCAAGGGCTTTGTCATGACGGCCTTGGTTGACGTCAGAGGTCAAGAGCTTGGTGAGAGAAAGCAAGCGCTGGAAGTTTGATGGCTGGTAGGAGCCCATGTTAGTTTGGGCTTTTGGGACCAACAGCATCTATATAAGCAATTTTTTTCTTTTTTTGTTGAGAAATATCTATAATATAAACTTTTTTTTTGTTGACATTGGAGGGTTATATTGGAGTGAATCGAACCATAGACCTAACCTAATCATAACTCATTATCTTATTCTTCTTCACTTTAGGTAACTTTTTTCTTTTGTTTACATTGGATGGTCATATTGGAGATAATTCAACCATAGACCTAACCTAATCCTAACCCATTATCCTACTCCGCCTTCACTTCTTGAGATAACTTTTTTCTTTTGTTTACATTGGATGGTCATATTGGAGAGAATCAAACTATAGACCTAACCAAACCTAACCTAATCCTAACTCATTATCCTATTCTCCTTCACGACCACCACTGTCTTTGGTTCGGGTGTTAGTGTCTTATGGGCTACCATACCCCCTTATTTGATAACTTTTTTGTAGGAGGTCTGCCTTTGCTGGGTAGTATGTATTCAGTTGATAGGCTTTCTTAGTTGGCTGTTCATCTCCTCTCTTTTGTATCTTTCGTGCCTTGTTTGGCTGGAAATGAAATTCAGTATTGAACAAAACAAAAAAAACAAAAAGAAAAGAAACAGGGCGGGCATGGGCACGTGAGGATTGAACTCTGTTGCAAGTTATGTGTTGGTCCCATGCTTAAGTCTAATCAGGCCTAGTGTTGTACACATGAAAAATAGACTAGTTTTGATCACAAGATTGATCATCCTGTGGTCTTTGAATTCTAAAGAGAAATAGCATTTTGGACTTTTAAAGCAATATTTGCAGAAATATATGCTCCAGAGTCTTAGCCATGGTAGAACATGCAGGGTTAATTTTTCTTGACAGAAGTAAGGTTAATTCTCTGGCTCTCTGAAGATTAGTCAGAGTTCTAGCATGGAGCAATAAGTAGTAATTGGCATTAAAAACAGGCAGTTAAAAAGTAAGGTTAAAGATAAAACTTTTTAACAATATTAATATGATTTAACTGTCTTGTCTTCTTCCATCAACATGTTAATGTACCCTCTTGGTGCCATCCATTGCAAGGAATCCCTCAAGCTCAAGACATCATCTTTCACCTTCTTGGAAGAGACATCATCTTTCACCTTCTTTGAAGAGACATCATCTTTCACCTTCTTTAAAGGATCTACTGCTACCCAAAGATGCCTGAGACTAGGTAGTGGTGGAGAACATGTATTTCTCCTTTCTTCTGGAAAGATAAGAGCCTGAAACATATTCAACAATGACAACAACAAAAAGGTTAGAAATCGATTGACACATATGTAGAGCGAAAAGTGATTAAAATGGTATGCATAAATACCTCAGCTTCATTAAGGGTTAGGCTTAAACTTCCAGAGGAATCAAAATGTCTGAGAAAGTTTATTAACGCAGGAAAATCTATGTCTTCGAAGATATTTTCTTCTTTGCCAGATCTGTCTTCCAAGTTGAATTTGACGTCGGCCTTCAACAAATTTGGAGCATTCAGAGAAAAGTTGGAGAACAGAACATTTAACTGATGACTCGGCAAATTACCAGTATTAAACTCAAAAGCAGCTAGATTTGGAGTATTGATATTGACTTTCACGGTAAAACCGTTGCGTCCACAAAACGCAAGGCGTTTCAGAGTCTGATTATTGATGTGGATGGTATCTGACCAAAAGTTGCTGCATTTATTCAACACCAAACTCTCAAGCAGGGGAAATCTTGAACTGAGGTCGTCTTGAAACCATCGGCCTCCAAAGCATGTATCGAAAAACTCCAGATGTCTAAGCGATCGACAAGACGCGATATTGAGGCTGCTGTGCATGTACATTTCAGTATAAGAATCACCCCAGAATCTAAAAGATTCAAGATTCACAGCTCCAACTTCAATTCTCACTTTTCGGCACCTAGCAATTTGCAAGGATTTGAGGCTTGAACTCAAAACTTTGCAGAACCTTAACCCACACGAAGTTAACGACAAGTCCTCAAGGGAAGGGCAGCCAGAAATTAAGTGGACAAATCCCACGTTACCCAAATCCATGTTCTTGAGGACCATATTTTTCAAACTAGGAAGGCTTATAGGCATAGGGTTGTCTTTTAATTTCACATTATTTAATCTCAGAGTGGTTAAAGATTGTGCGTTGAGGATCGTTTGCGGCAAGAAGTAGTGTTTGCTTCTGTCCCCATACTTTCGTATAAGGATGATCTCCAACTCTTTAACGTTTCTCTCAACAGCAAAACTCAGCCACTTATCTATCATACTGGCACCTCCAGAGTACCTCATGCTAAGCCTGAATGTGTCCAAGTCATGTTCTTCTTGGTTCTTCTTGCGGCGCTTCAAACAGCTGAGCAAGTACTTCCGGAACATTGCCCTGTCAGTGCCATACCGAGAATTGCAGAGCTGCAGATCCTCATCGAAATTCAAGACCGGGAGCGAAGACCACAGGCGTTGCCATTGCCGGGAGAGAGTGCTGGCCCGGACAGCAAGCTTGGTGGGGAGGAGGAGGAGGATTTGGTTGACAACAAGGTCAGGTAATTCTGGTGTGTACGTGTCCACATCCATGGGGAGCTCTTGGTTTTTCTGAACATCATCTTGTTCATGGCTTTTCATCTTTTTATTTATGTTTGAGCCGCTGCAACCTGCAAATTTTCTTTTCTTAGAATTTTTTTGAACATCATCTTGTTCATGGCTTTTCATCTTTTTACTCATGTCTGCGCTGCTGCAACCTTCGATTTTTCTTTTGTTAGCCATCATGGAGTCCCTCTGTAATGCAAAACTATAGCACGTAGTGATCAATCAATGGCTTTAGAGAACAAGTCTTTATCTGTATCTGTGGTTTTAACAGAGAAGATCTAGAGGAGAAGGTCAACCATGATTAGAAAGACAGTTGACAAATCCTCAAGGAAAAAGAAAACTTTAGATATTGCGAATCCTACGCTAGATAGGAACAAGTCTTCCCTCAAGAAACAAATTTCCTATAGTGTTCCATGATCACAATATAACAGCGCAGGTATAGAACGGACCTAATTTGAATTGTCACTCCGTTTTATTTATATATAAAAAAATTAAAGGTTAATTATTTACAACAAAAAATAAATCTACAACTTCATCTAATATTATTATCACAATCTTAACATGTTTTTTTTATACAAATTTATAAATAAACCCAATCCTAGACATGTATTTATAAAAAAACCCAAGCACTATTTAAACATAGAAACACACCCAAAATCAACCTCAAAGTCAACTTTTTGGGTGTGTTTATAAATGAGTTTTGAGTGTGTGTAATAATGGGTTTTGGGTGTGTTTATATGTTTAAATAGTGCTTGGGTTTTTTTATAATTTCAACCTCCATTTTGGGTGTTTTAGTGAAACTCCCTTTTTTTTAATGGTTTTCTTGAACAATTGTTTTTTTGGGGGCCAAAGTTAGAAAGGGAATGAGTTCTCACACACACTATCAATGTATCATGGAGATTCATAGTATGCAAGTCAATATCCTTTTTCAAGAGATTATACCCTATTGGCTTTCTTGAACATACATTTTTCTTTTCATATGGAGGAGTAATAAAACAACCAAAATCTTTATCTTTTTATATTTTTTTGGTGAACATCATCTTTCCATTGGTTTTTTTTTTTTTTTTTTTTGGTCTGACATCTTTCCATTGTTCCAAAAAAGCTCTTTGCTTCCTGCGTGTAGGCTTCACCCAAATCTGCATAGGTAATAATTATATCTAGTTATTTGCCCAATTGAAATCGCTTTATTTGAAAGTTGCAACAGAAAAGGAATTAAATCAAAGCTTACTTTTTGAAAGTTATGTAATTCAATTTGAATAAAAAATAAAAAATCATAAGCGATAGTATTTTACTGAAGTGAGGAAGCAACAAGTACAAAAGTTAGATTATTTCCTAAAGAATTAGATGAGCCTCTCTATACATAAGGATTCAGTCATCAGACTACTATATAGCTTACCCTTTCAATCACAGGTCAGAGAAGGAACCTTGTTCGTATAAGAACACCCCCCTCTCCCGGTCCCCCAGGATCATAAGTGTAAAAACCTAATTGTGTAATTCTAATTAACTATAAAATGTTCTAGTCATATCTTTATGTGAAAACAATTACTGCCTTTTTTTAAATAAATAAAAAACTTATTTATTTATAGCTATAATGGAATACATAGTTTGATTGGTGATAAGATAACAAAGCTCCTCTAATTCTTATCTTCGTTTAAAAATTAAAAAAAAAAAAAAAAAAAAAAAGGTACAACTTATATTAACTTTTTCTCTCAATATTATTTTCAAATTTTTAAGAGAAAAATACTTAAATATGTTATGATAATTACACTCCAATTTTGACACATATTAGGAAAGAACTATGATAAGAATTTCTTGATGTGCCAAGACGTCCCATGGATATCAGCGTTCTCACCAATTTCTCCACAGCCAGAGCTAACCTTCAGAGAAACAAAATAAATGTTTAGAATTTCTTCCATTTTCATACTTACGGGACATAGCAATGTGAACGAAACGAAATTAAAACATGATATATTTGTGGAATCGAAAACCCTTTTGGATCCTTCTCCAAATGGGTGTAATCTCATTAATTTCGGAAAGATTCCATCTCAGTTTGTTTCCTTTTCTTTCTTTCCGTGAAGGGATGGTTTGGTTGGGTGTGAATGTATGTACCATGACCCGTTTTCTTTTCTTTTGCCCTCGCATCACATGTCAAGAGAACTCATCTATGAGGGCTCTGGACTCCATAGTCAAGAGTGGGGCAGTATAAAAAAAACCTCAATTGAGCAGAGCATTGTTCAGGCTCATCAAACCCTAAAGACTGGTTCTGTTTTCATCAACAAATGTGACCCCCACCCCAAGTCAAGAGAATTCAGCTTTTATTGGGCTTGTCTATTAGCAATTTATTAGTTGTTTCAATTAATTATTTTGAATACCCTTTTTCTGTGTGGTAATTTATTTTCATCTTATGCTACTGTAATTTATTTTTTGTGGAAACAGAGAAATTACAACAGAAATTTCTTATTATTTTAGTGTGTTGAGTTGATTTTCATTCGTCTGAATTCTAGGCTGTTTGGTTTTCAGAATTAGATTACGGAATAAATGACTATCCACACACACAGAAAGGAAAATTACAATTGAGGTAATGCGTAACCTCAGATTATGATGTTGTTCCATAGGAAGATTTAGGGATTTTGCATTCAAGGACATTGTCTCAGATTGTGCACTTGTTTAATTTTTTTTTTGTTTAGCTTTGTAGGTTTTCTTCCTCACAAATGGCTGCTTTCGATAATGATGAAGCACCAATGCTAGCTACGAAATCCTCAGATGAACATGCAGATTCTAAATTCCAGAAATTTGAATCCATTTCCCTGAATGTGTTAAATTCGATTCCTGTGAATTCCAAGGAAACTGAAACCAACCTTGTAGACCATACAAGTTGCTTGCAAAGTGACATAAAAAGTCCATTCATGCATGCGTGTGTTCCATTCCAGCAGTATAGAATGTGCAGTGATCCTTACTGCACAATTTGCTCAACATGTCAGAGTTTGAAATCTGCTAAGCAGGATAATCCCAAAGCTTCAAGGCTTTTTGATCCTAAGGTTTTGTTTCCCTTTCATTCTTACACCAGAGTTAATTTGTTTTAACTGCCTTTTTGTATGTGCTTATATTAGCTGCGTACTACTTGAAAATTGTGAGGTTTTATTCTTTAATTGTTTATGTCTACTTGTATGAAAATGATAATGATGCATATGGTATTTTTACTTTTGTATGATAATGTTCTTATCATATGTATACCTGACTATGTAGATTGTTGTTAAATACTATTGTAAAAAACTTGTGCATTTTCAGTCTAGTGATTTGTGGTTTTCTGCAGATCCAGATTGCTTTCTACGGCGATGCTAAAGGCTGGTTTATAAGATCTATCTCTTTTCTAAATCAATATATTCCAGGAGTCATGAATCCTCATACTAAAGCCATACGACAGTGGAACAAATTCTTTGTCATAGCTTGTTTGATGGCAATTTTTCTAGACCCTTTGTTTTTCTTCGTGTTATATGCAGAACAGGTTTGTTTTCCTTCCTTCTACAGAACAGGTTTAGCTCATTTCTTTTTCTTTTTCTATAAAACCACTGATTAAAGTTTATAAAGATCGTTCTTCATTGGCTTTTCGTTTAGAATAATATCAAATGTTTTTATCAACTTTTTAATTCGGTTCTCTTTTAATTTTGTCTGGTATTTACAATCTTAAAATGCAGGATAATAAGTGTCTACGTATCAAATGGTACTTGACCTTCATAATGGTGTTTTTCAGAACAATAACTGACTTTATTCACTTTTTGAACATGCTTCTTCAGGTAACCGTTTTACCTCGCTTTTAGACATGTCCTTCTTGTGAATATGCTGGTTAATAAATTGGTAGCTTTAGTACAAGATTGATAGAGGCTTATTGTTTGGAAATTTTCTCTGAGATTGTTTACAATCTGATTTCAGTGTCTTAACTGATATGTCCAAAGTGACTTCTCGCAGTTTAGGTTGGCTTATGTGGCTCCTGAGTCTAGAGTGGTTGGTGCAGGAGAGATAGTGGACCAACCAAAGAGAATTGCTCTCAATTATATCCACGGAAAATTTCTGGTTGACTTATTTATTGTTTTGCCACTTCCTCAAGTAAGGCTCAATGCTCTCAATCATCTTACTACACTCTTGTTGCTATGAGTTAATGAATTTAAATTGTTTTCAGATCATAATTTTTGTAGTTTTGCCACAATACATCCAATCATCTGGAGCAAATGATGCGAAGAATCTTCTACGTATGGCAGTGCTTTTTCAGTACATTCCAAGGTTGTATAGGTTTCTACCTCTGCTTGCTGGTCAATCTCCATATGGCTTCGTATTTGAGTCAGCATGGACGAATTTTATAATAAACCTTCTCACTTTCATGTTGGCTGGCCACATTGTCGGCTCCTGCTGGTACCTCTTTGGCTTACAGGTGTGTGAAGATTTTATTCTCTAAAATAAAGTGTTGAAAGTATATGAGTCAGCAGAAGTAGAGAAAATTTATATCATAACATCTGCAATATAAAGCTACTGAATAGACATGTACATAAGGAACTTGAAGCTTACAGTATTATTGTATTTCACTCAAAGATATTTTATTGGATTGAACGTTTACGGGGAGCTTTTCCTTTTATACTAGCTGCCACAGTTTTCAATTAATAACTCCCTCGAAAGATAGCAATGTATCGACATGAACCTCTCATTAAAACTTAGATATCCATCCATGTACTACTAATTTCTAGAGAAATCTATTCATGGACCCTTTAATTCTAACTTGTCTCCATAATAATTTTGTTTGTGCATCTTGCCAATTAAGTGTCGAAATACAGCATGTTGAACTTGCATGCATGAAGTGTTCCATTATTTGTTTTATATCTCCTTTTTACTCATCTTTCTTGTCCCAGAGGGTTAATCAATGTCTTCGAAATGCCTGCCATGCCTCTGAAATCCCCCATGACTTGTGCATGAGATTCATAGATTGTGGGTTTGGTAGAATTTTTACATCCGAGCCAGCGTGGGATAACTGGAAAAATAATGGGAGGGCTAATGCTTGTTTTGATGAAGACGGTTTCTCCTATGGAATCTACACTAAAGCTGTCAAGCTCACTACAGCAGATACCGTGACTAGCTATGTATACTCATTGTTTTGGGGATTCCAGGTACCTCACATGTTATCTTATAATGTGTGTATTGGAGATATGATCGACTATTTGTATACTCAATATATTTCTGTTTGTACCTTACATCTTACCAAATGCTAATTTTATTGGTTTATTGGTTTCTTCCTTCTTGATTCTATGAAGCAAATCAGCACTCTGGCAGGAAATCAAGTTCCAAGCTACTTTGTTTGGGAAGTCCTTTTTACCATGGCAATTATCGGACTGGGCCTCTTGCTCTTTGCTCTTCTAATTGGAAATATGCAGAATTTTCTTCAATCTCTTGGACGGAGGTACTACTTTCTACTATCGTTTCTGCTTCTTAAATGTTCTACATGCCAAAGCTGCTTGAAGGGATATAGGGTATATTCATCACACTGCATTTTAACTGTTTGACCTATTTGTCTTAATAACCACATTTTTCCATTATGAACCTGTTTCACAAAAAGAGGCATCTGAAAGTAAGGATCTAAGCTTACGTAATAATTTTGTGCATTTTAACAATAGTAGTACTACTGTCAACAAAGAAAATCGTCCTGTATATTGGAGTAGGCTAGCTCTGTATAGAATAACAGAGCAGTATGTTATGCATGGTTGTTTTGTAACTATTTGTGATCACTAACTGAAAATTTGTCAGTATCTATCTTTTGGGAATATACTTTGCAGCCTTGAAATTTTAGTTCAAACTCTCCTTAATTTTCTGACGTATATATATATATATATGTGTGTGTGTGTGTGTGTGTGCGCCCTTCTAATTTCTTTCTTTCCTCTTTTTTCTTCCCAATTTTGGGTGTTTTTCCTCTTTTAGGAGATTTGAGATGTTGTTGCGACGCCGTGATGTTGAACGGTGGATGAGCTATCGCCACTTGCCAGAAGAACTGAGAAGGTATGTCAGTACTGACTCTAAGCACATATTTATGAACATTTTCATCAATAACTTTTAGCTCTAATGTTTTCTGATATTTGTTGGCAATTTAACTCATGTAGACAAGTAAGGCAAGCAGAACGGTATAATTGGTCTGCAACTAGAGGTGTAAATGAAGAAATGCTTTTGGAGAATTTGCCTGAAGACCTTCAAAGAGATATAAGGCGCCATCTCTTCAAATTTGTGAAAAAAGTAAGATCTCCATTGTATGCATACTACTTAGTTTTGTGTTCTATGCTTTGAAATGCTGCAGTGCATCTTTTAGGCTGAGTGTTGAACCTACAGAGAGTCGTTTCATAACTAAAACTCAATATGTTAAAGAAGCACTATGAGTGATACCTCCTGATGTTAAGTTTAGAGAGCATCCATGCAGCATGCATGTTCCCATAACTTAAAAGAATATTGCAGGTTCGGATTTTTGCCCTGCTAGAAGATCCTGTCTTAGATGCAATTTGTGAGAAACTAAAACAAAAGACATACATCAAAGGAAGCAAAATCTTTTATCCTGGAGGCCTGGTCGAGAAGATGGTTTTTATTGTGCGCGGAAGAGTGGAGAGCATTGGGGAGGATGGGATTGTTGTTTCCTTATGTGAAGGGGATGTCTGCGGTGAAGAACTTCTCACATGGTGTCTAGAGCATCCTTCAGTAAACAATGGTATTATTTTGATAACTGCTCACTTGTTTGAATTACTCCAATTCATTACATAAACTAAATACTTATTCAACATGTTGTTTTGTGGATGTAAAAAAAAAAGTCAGGATCCCTGGTCGGAAATTGTTGAGCAACAGGATGGTAAGGTGCTTGAGTAACGTAGAAGCATTTTCACTCCGAGCTGCAGACCTGGAAGAATTCACCAGTCGTTTTGCAAGATTCTTACAGAATGCACGAGTGCAAGGAGCCATAAGGTTACTTACTATCTCAACCAACATAGCTTCTTCTTTTTTTGCTCTTGTTTATCTCCTACGGCACGTGTTTTCGATTTTACAACATGGAAGCATACTAATCTGATTTTAATTGTAATGAAGCAATTTGGTCATTGCGGTAAGAAAGTGAAACTTGATTGATTGTGATTTTTGTTTTTGATAGGTATGAATCACCCTATTGGAGAGGTCTTGCAGCAAAGCGAATTCAAGTAGCATGGAGATACCGGAAGAAGCGTCTAAGTCGTGCAAGCTTCCCTCGCTCCTCTCGCCTGCATTAAAGACTTCTTGGTCAAACACTTGATGAAACGCACCGTTTCTCATGTAAAGCATTTTGATTTTCTTAAGGAAGGGACGTAGACTAATAAAAGTAGGATCGTAGTAGCTGATTGTGTCCAGTATTTAATTATTAATCTATTTGCTGTCGTTAGTCTTAGTTCGAACAGTTCTGAATATACTTTCGTACACATCCTAGAAGAGTTGAGAATGTCAAAGTTTCTTCGACTCAAATTTCGAATTTTCCAAAGTGTCCATTATTTGCCGTATTTACGAATGGGACAACATTTTCTTTGTACTTTGCGCACTTACCCCTTTATTTAACGTTGGAGACATTCTATTTGCAACCATGATGACACTGCTCCTCATTCTCAAGTTTCAAAGAAAATGTTTATGTAAATTTTGACATTGAATAATTAAGTTGCAATCACTAAATTAGCTGTCCAAATCATGGATTATGCTCAAACTTGTTTATCTTCATTGTACACGAGTAAAACGCTTAATTTTGGAAACATTAGTTGTTGAGTGGTTGCATTCGATCATATTTAAGATAATACAATATGGGCTCGTTTATGGAGAAGCACATATGAGGTGCTTCTTTCCATAATTACTTAAAATCACTTTCCCCATAAGTGATTCTAGCCTAATCCAGAATCACTCTCAAACGAGCCTTATGTCAAATAAGAAAAGGATATTATGAATCTTTAGTTTAGTAGTAGTTGTCTTCACCTTAATAGGAAGATGCCTCAAGTTCGAATTACATCAATATAAATATTGAAATATGATACATTATATTTTTGGGGAGTTCAATACTTAGTTGTACGAACTCATCGAATAACATAATTTTGTTTGTGAGTTACCGCTGTAAAAATAGCTTTATAAATGTTTCATTATTATTATTTTTTTAAACGCTATGGAAAAGCTTATGTAAACATAGAAATTTAGGGCAAACCAAAAAGGAAAAGGAAAAGAAAATCTGATTAAAGGAAATTGTTCAACTCACCCATCCTACCTCCTTCGGAAAGTTTAGAGGATGCGCATATACATACCCAAATTGGTTAGTAATTATTTGTTTTTAATATTATATAGGATAAGAGTTAAACTATTTGCATTTCAATCCTTGAATTAAAAATAAATAACACAAAACCCTTATTTTGGGTAAAATAAATAAACTTCATACTCCCTCAACCACTTGAAAATTCCGCACTAGCCCAGTTGATTTTTATATAGGAGTGTGGGGCCCTATAATACTTGCGTACAAAGGAACCTAGACGGCGCCGAGTATTTAACAGTGCGCGAAACCAGAACACAGCTCAACAAGCCATGGCAACCACCTTGGGCTGCCGCCTTAGCGTTCTTGCCTCACCCGCTGCCTCTCGGTACGTATTCGATCCTTATAGTTATAGCTACCATTGATCTCATAAATACAGAGAAATGAAAAAAAAAATAAAAAAAAATTAGCGTGTTTGGTAATCAGATCGCCATCTTATATGAAAGATAAGGAGCCCACTTCTGTTTTTGTTCTTAGTTTAATTTTTATTTTATTTTTTTTATTTTTTATTTTTTGGTGTGGCTTCGTTCATTTTTTTCTTTTCGATTTCTTAATTCCTTGAAACAGTTGTAGGATTTTAGGGTTTTCAGACATTAGGGACGGAAACTTTTCTTCAAGATTTTAGAGTTTTTGATATTATGTAAGAGGAAAAACTTGGGAATTTACGAAATTGTTTGTGTAGATATGATATTATTTCTCAATTTCCTTTTGGTATGAAGCACTCTCATTCTTAAAAACTTATGGCATCTCCAGAAGAAAAAATTAGTTGTACTGAAATGAACATAGCTTGCTTTTTGATGAGAGGGTGTTTTCAGAACAAACAGAGTGGCCAAATAAGTGTGTACCCTTACCACGAGCACGGCCATGTCATACATGGTTCTACAAAAAATTGAAAACAGTTTTCTTGAATCTGTAATTGCCAAAAGAAAAGGTGGTGGAGACACGGATAAAGGGCTCACTGCATTGTAATGTTAGAGACGTTCTGTGACGCCCTGTTTCGGAGCCTTGGAAGTCAGATTCTAAGGCCGGAGCTTATTTCTAAGGGTCTGAGTGATATAGATTTCTATCTCATGTGTTTCACTTAGATGGTTATTAAAACACAATTACAAGAATTATTAGCATCATTGTTTCTCAGCTCCTGTCTTCATCAATAGCAGCATTCTATTGAAGAAACAAAGAGGGTTTCAGTTCAGCTTGATGATTGTTTCTCAGCTCCTGTCTTAATGCTAATCAGTATACATTATATTGGTCTTTAACTAGGTATAACGATGTGAACCTCCAAAGACGCAACAAGCCTAACAGGGTTGCATGCAAATCTAACTTGAATACATTCCCTATATTGTCCAGCAGCAGAAATCTACAACAACCTAATCACAATCTGCATGGCTGGACTTCTACAGGTATGTCCAATATCTTGTCAATCATCTTCCTTGTTTCAATCGCAAGAAATGAATCAAAATAGAAAAATCCCATCTAGCCAATCCTTGGTCTCAGAGTAAAAGAGGTTTAGAACCTATAAGCTTATTTGAAACTAATCTGTTGTTTGTGTTATGATGAGCTCATTTAATATGTTATGTTCCGAAGATGAAATGCGTACTTGCATAGGAGCATCATTGAGATTGTTTTTATGCTCTTATAATCCTAAACTCATAATTTTCAGGATTGCCAAGCTTGCACCTGTCTGCTACATCATCCACATTGTTGAGGGGAGAACGAGGCAGTCAGTCACACAAACTACCAGTGTTACTTGGACAACGCAAGTCTTCAACATTGGCACAAGCAAAAAAGAATAATTCCATCACTATACCTTTTCCAAAAATGGAAGAGAAGCCAGATTGGTGGTGGAGAACTTTAGCATGTCTCCCCTACTTGATAGCTTTGCAGATGTCTGATACTGGGTTTCTCATTAGACCCTTCACAGAACACTACGAAGTATTTAGCGATTTGGTTTATTATGTCCCAGGAGCAATAACGAGGTTACCTGCCTGGTTCGCAGTGATATATACCTTACCTACATATTATGGAGTGGTGAAGAAGAAAGAGTGGCCTCACTTCTTTAGGTACCATATAATGATGGCGATGTTGTTAGAAATGATGATGCAAATGGTAGAAGTTTCGAGCAATTTTTTTCCGCTGATACACTTCAATGGGACGTTCAGCATAGAATACTGGGGAGCTATCTCATTCGCGTACATCTTCATCTTGTTGGAGTGTATAAGGTGTGCTCTTGGTGGCAAGTATGTCAAACTCCCATTCTTCAGCACACCTGCGTTAGCGCATACTCTTTTTGAAATAGAAGGCTACTACAAACCTTTCTAGAGAGTCATTCCGGCGCCCTCGTGAGTTGTATGTTGTTTTAGTTTTTTGTTGGCTTAGAGATCAATTTACATCTGTACTAGTTATTGGTTTACTTATTTTCATTACATTTGTTCTGGGTTCTTGCATTGTAAAAGAAAAACAAGTCAAAAAAACAAGAAATAAAATTCCATTTGAATAAGTCTGTGTGATTTGGCTATGCGCTTGGGACGAATGGTTATACAATTTTATCAACATTATGTTTTTGAATTGAAGGTCAATCCTAGCAACAAATCCGATGGATTTCTTTCTTCTCTTTTATGACAAGGGGAGGAGAGGGATGTTTGAATTTGAGACTTTTTTCGATGTTGAATGTTCCAAGTAGATATCATTTTCTAACTTCAATTATCATTTAATTCATTTCCACTACTAACATCACTGAGACTTTTTGTGATAAAACTCCACATCTATTGGGCTTTGTAAGTATTTAAGTTGAGGACAATTTCGGTGTTGCTCCCTCTAAAATCTTAACATGGTATTAGAGCGGGTTGATTGATTGGGCATGAATTGAGCAATGTGGACTTGACTCCACGTGTGGTCCACTACATTGTGGTCCCACGTGAGAAGACATGTTGAAGAATATAAAGTTCCACATCTTAACTAAATAAAATAAAATATATAATGAATAGTTCCACAACTACAAATGTGTTTGCATAAAATATAATTCACGTTCTAGAAAAATCTTCCACGTTACGCTCGATAGAATTGTTTAGTATATGTGAAAGTCAGAAATCTGAATGCGAGGAATTAAAATGTTGGGTGCATGTCTTCGTCGCATAGAGGAAACAGACCTGAAAACCCCCCAACATTATTAAGAGAAGCCACGAGATCAAATGAAAATGACCCCAGCATTTGAATTAATTATTCTAAAACTCAGCTGTTATTTTCATCTGAATCTCATAGGCATATAGTCATGCGCATGCCCAATGAACAAATAAATTTAAAATAATAAAAATTAAGAAAGAGTATTATTATCAGAATTTAGACAAAAGAGAATAGCCCACACCACTCTCACTCCACACAATCACACACAAACTCCCAACTGTTGTTGTCTGTCTGGTGAAGAAAGACTGAGAAGACAATTGAGACCAAAAAAAAGACTGAGAAGACGAGCTTCTTCTTCCTTCTTTCTCTTTGCCAAATTTCCCTTCCCAGTGTTGCTAAATCTTCGTCAATCCAAAACCCAACCCAATTCAAGTTATTCAACCCTCATAACCCTAAATTTCAATCCCAATTATGATCTCAAATCTCAAGTCTCAGCCCTGGAAAAGTATTGTGCGGTAAGATCCCGTCACTCGAATTTAATCCACCTTGGCGATCTCTGTCTAAAAGGCTGCAACTTTCTCGGGAAACAAACGGGTTCCGTATTGGCCCTTCAGATTTGGAACTGGTAGAGAATAATGAGGCGGAGAGCCACGGACTTTCGGAGGCCCCTGAGGAGGCGGTTTCCCAATGCCTTGTGGTGGGTACTGTGTGGGGTTGCGGTTTTGCTCTTCATTTTCACTTTGAGCAGAGGAAATCAGATGGAGTCCAGGCCTGTCATTCCCACGGTATATACTTCTCTACCCTCTGTTTTTTTTTTTTCGTTTTTGGTTTAGTTGAATGTTCCTTAGAAAATGTAGGAATAAAGAGGGAATTGGAGTTGTAGATATTGGGTTTTTGAGTGACTTGGGAGGTGAGCTAGAAAAGGCTGAATTGGGTTGTGAATGGAACAGTTGATTGGTTTCATGGCAATGAGTTTTTTTTGTCAGTTTGGGAGCTAAAACAGCAAAAAGATGTAAGCTTTAGAATTCGATTGTATTTTGCTTTTATACTTGGTGTTATTAGCTACTATAGAAAGGAGTTGATTTTGTATACTTGGGATTTTGTTCATGCTAAGACATTAGTGTTATTGAGTTGGGGTTTGGCTTTTGATCTAG